TTGTTGTCCCTGCACACTCTTAGCATGGTGCTAGCTGAGTTGCAAAGATGGGATCTTTGTTAATGGTAAATAGGAATGTATAGGGAGGAGATGACTGGGGCTTAAAAGCCCTCTTAAAAGACCAAATTTGATACCAGCAGCAAGAAATATTTGAATTGTGAACTACGCAAAACGTTTTAAGAAGTGATCAGAATATTTTCTGTGTTTTCATCAGTGAATTCTGTTTGGTCCAAATGAGCTGCGTGGGCTGTAAGTGTGTGCTCCAGAGGAAGACTGCTGGGTTTGGGGTGTCTCAGATTAATTCTGAGGCAAAGAGAAACGTTCCACCATCATTTTGGAGCCAGAAGAATGGAAATCACACTTTGCAGCCTCCTATTTCTTCAGGCTTCAGATATTGTCCCAATTAGTAGCTTTGTTGTTTCCTCCTATAATTCCTTTAGGAATGCTAGGAGATACCACCCAGTCCTCCTGACTGTTCCTGAGCCTCCTCTGAGGATACTTTGATTTAGGATAGATCCTCTGTAATACTTAAGAGTGCATCATACACACAGCTGTGAGTCTTGATCGTGACTATGGAGTTTCTTGGCACAGTGCTGGGCATCTATAATGGGATTCCTGCAGCAAACCCTAAGGTCCCACTCCGAGGTAATGATCTGCAAAGGAACCAGTTGAAACAAATGCCTGTTTCAGTTGGGATCTAGAGAGGCTTGCGAACATGCCAGACCTCCATCAAGGATCTCCGGAGGGAGAACAGTCCCTGGAGGTGTTCCAAGTTCCACCTTCTTCATGCACATCACTAAAGAGGAGCTCCCTCCTGCGCCCATGGTGCCCAGCGCTTTGCTTGCAAGGCCCCATCCTGCGCTGGGGCCAGCGCTGGGTCACAGCGAGCTGTTGCTCTGCAGGGAGATGGAGTGGCTTTACACAGGGTATCTGCTGGGTATACTGGGAAAAACTGCCCTCTTTTGCAGTTCTCCTTGAGTTTTTCAGCAAGTAGATTTTTTTTCCACTCTCCCAATGATTGTAACAGGATTTTATTCTCCTGCAGCCAGCTGTTAGCAATTAGCAACTTGATCCATTCAGTCCCAAGAACAGAGTTTAACACTTTCTTGCCTCTGTGAGGATGTTGCTAATCCTGTTTTTGCTGGTTTGGGGCTTGTGCTGTAGCTTTGGCACTTTCTGTGTATGTGTAGGCAGGTCAGGAAGGAAGGCACGAGTACAGCAAGGGACTCTAATGCAGCTGAAAGAGCTGCAGAGAAAAATATCGAGTCCTCTACCCAGAAAAAAATCAGTAGGAAGATGATTTCCAAGCAGTTTGTATGGAGACTTGTACTTAGCAGTATATTCCAACATGTTCTAGCTCTTGGAAGTGTGCAGGTTGGGAATCCAATCTGCTACTAGCTGAGATTTGGACTCAGCAGAAATCAACATCAGTAGTTCTTCAAACAGCGATTTCCGGCAGCATGAGCTCCTGATTGGGGCTGAGGCTCCTCTAAACTATGAGATGGGAGCGAAAAACACTCTTGGTGTCCTTGCTCAGGAGAACAGCAGCTGCTGGAGAGCACTAGAAGATGAGAAAGGACATTGTTTGCTCCCCGTGTGCAGCATCTCTCCTGGGAATCCCAAACATGCACTGTGGTGGTCCAGGACTGGGACCCAAGTGTGGTGGGAAGAGCAAACTCAGCACAGCCTGAACCCAGCTGCTGGGGTCCCTGCATGGGGCTGAACTGTTGGAAACAGTTCCTCACTGCCACATACAGAGGTGAGAATTTGTCTCACCAAACTGTAGCCACCTGGGAATAATGAGGCTAGTCCTGGCCAGCCATTTAGACTTCTTTTGTCATCGATGGAGGTAGAGACATCCTGAGAGGATTCATCCTGACCAATCTTTAGGCAAGGGTCAAATTCAAAGCCAGCTTTTGTAGGCACAGAGCTGCAGAGCGGTGAGCTCTAGAGCCTGCTCTGAAGGCTTCCTCTTCTCTCCTGGAGGCCAGGCTGGCCTCTCCTCTCCGGCCACATTGTCCACTTTTGGCTTGCAGTTCCCCAAGCCACGCTATTTTTGTGTGACGCGCTGAGCTCCAAGTACCCATCAAGTCCTGGGAAGCCCCCAGTTCACAAAGTGCCTGTGGGATGGACAACTGTCTGGGCTGTCCCAGCCCATAGCTTTCCTCCAGTGCTGGTTGCTGGTCCGTGGCAGGGGCTGATGTGGTCCTTGGGCACTTCGATGTGACTTTCCTTATCCACCCTCCACCCCATTCCTTCATCCCTCCTA